TGATGAGGGTGATTTATTATCAAAATTTTTAGAAAAAACGACAGGCACACGTAATTGCAGTCTGAAAAACGTTCGCCACTATTTAGTTTGTAATTCAAATCTAATAATAACAATAGATCATTACGTTAATTAAAGTTGGCCTTTACCAATACTTCGTTATCCAAATAAGTTAGCGTGATCAAGCCGTTTCATTACAGGCGAAATTAAAGTTGACAGTCAATAGTAATAACGATAGAAAACGTGCATAATTAATTTGCTTTTCACAAAAAAAAAAAGCATTAGAGGACGACATTTCAGGCTGTTTCGACAATGGTTTAGTACGTTACTTCAACATGTCGATTTTTTTTTCTGTTTTTCCTCCTATTTTTTCGGTAGCGCTCTGTTTACGTGACCCAAATTTTTCCCTTGCACTTTAATGCCAACACTCAGCCAGATCGAATATTATATCCTTTCTAAAATAGATGGCAAAGATACACAATTCAGGAAGAACTGCAATTCATTATATATGCTCCTCATACTCAGTTCAATGAGAAATATAATATTGAAAAGGGCTATCTATTTTACTGTCACTCTTTCCAAATCGGTTTTTATCAATAAAATTGAAATAACGTCTCATCGAGTCGCTCAGTATCTTATTATCGCTGCAATAACCCCGATACAAATTATGAATACTGCGCTCAATGGGCATTTTTGAAGCTTGCTTATTGTTTGAGGCTTGAAGCATCCACTATTGAAGCATGTTTGCATTTGGAAGCCACTTACTTTATTTTATCGTTCGAGTCCGACTGAAAGCTTCAGCGGTCGGTTTGTAACGGGACAGAGGGCTTTTTGCCCCTTTGTCGGTTTGCTGCCCTCCATCGTGGGATATTTCCCACTGTAGTCGATCCATTAGGCTCGCCACTGTAGCATTCGGAAAATATACTAGGAAATTGAGATCCTAAAGCAATTCAGCCGTTCTAATGCCGAGTCTAATATTTCGATTCTCTCACGATGAAATGAAACCTCATGTATCTAACAAACGCAGTAGAGTAGCGGCTCGGAGTAAGAACTGAGCAAAAAAAGTCATCACGAACGCTGCTATTCCGAGATGGTCTCACAAATGACTTTTGTTTTTGGACCGTAACTTTGAACCATTTTTTTTTTCTATTACCTAACCTGCCCTAACCTCATTTTCTGTCCCTGATATGTGGCTGACCTTTATTATTATTATTATGCTTGTTTTTATTTCGGCTACACTTTGCCACAGAGCAGATCTTCGTAACGAACGATTTTCTTGAACGTATTTGGCCTATAGCGCTACCGTTCGCCATAAGCAATAAGCTTTTATTTTGGTTTTGGTATCTTAGGCAGTCTGCTAAAGATTTTATCCATCTTAAATTGCTTACGACATAGTTCAAAGAGGTACACTTTTGCAATGTCGTCTCCCTAGAGATCTCCTGCTTGATGTTACTGTAGGGTTATCATCAAACCACTGATATACGCTAGATAGACAAATATACGCTACGGGTTGTTTTTATAAAACGGAGCCGTTTTGCGGAAATATCTGAAAAAGAAGTATACCGAGGTGTCTTGCCGAGAGGTGCCGATATTTCCAGCATGTTATTGAACAAACACCAACATCCGCACTGCACGGGTTACTACTGTGTGATCGAATCAGAGACGGATAAATGTAGCCATATTCATGCGTACTTTCCCATTAGACAGGAGCCCACAATATCAGTCTTATTGTTAGGAAAACGTATTATTGAAGAATACTGAACTGTTAAATTTATTGATACGTATTTACACGGATGGTAATCAAGGACTGCGCTGTACCTGCATTCTCTTTATGTCGTTCATTTTTGAAACCTGCCGTTATAAAATATCCGTTTTATATATCCGTTATAAAAACAGCCGCTTTTATTATCTGGGCCGTAATGTTGAAACTGTTTCAACCCCAGTAAAGGAGTTTTGCCTAAACATTAGTCAGAAACAACCCTTGTGTTCTGGTGTATCTAATTAGGCAGCTCAGGTACGTCGCTCAGGAGAAGATGGCTTCAAGCAGAACCCTTGGTTACTGTGCTATTTTACAGGTTATCGAAGTTTTACACGATGAACTTGTTTTCGACGCAGGAAGACGTACGGCACGATATTTATATGCACTTATCAGTAAGAGCGAGTAAATACGGCCAGCATATGATTAAGTCAAGGTAAATCACTCCTCGAAATGACGAAATCTAAATTTCACGCCAGTCCAGCGAAAATAAAAACAATATATGTATATAAAATAGACGATGTAACACGTTGATTGAAATTTCAGGCGTTACATAGGTGCCTATAGTGCGCTTGTAAGATGGAGCGTGCCATAAGGCATTTTGCGCGAAATCTCATATAGACACCTATTATATATTGCGGAATTCAGGTGTGTACTTAATGGATAATGCATCTTCCGCGTTTTTATGATCTTGCTATCGTCAGTAAAGCTATATAGTTGATGCAGAGCTCATTTTCCGCATACGCTGATGGATGATAGCCAGCATAGGCGCAACGCCATATCAGCATTTGTCGTTTGTTCGCCATTGGGGCGGCGGCTGCTTACTTCCACGCCCGCCATAATCTAGAGGATGTCCACGATCAAACAGCTGTTCCGGATGGCTCTGCGTAACATAAGTTACCCGACGCGGGCACGTCAAAAGTTCACTGCGCTGCTGTCGTCACCCTGGGAATATCTGCTGGTTAGAGATAAACAATACGAAACTGCGCTTTTCGTGTCCAATCGAAGGTAGATTGTGAGAAAAGCGTGACGGTGTTGGGGCAAATACAGACGCCAACTCTGACTGGAACAGCTTCTGCCTTTTACGCGGTATGCTACCCAGAGCTTCATTCATACTGATGACAGGCTGCCCTCAATCGCACAGCATTACTCTACTGTATGCGCTCTGGCTCCTTTACATAGCGTATTCGTATCACAATGCTGTTGGCTTTATTTCTAGATATATATTAGTGTTGTCTTCAGCGAAAATGGCTCGAGTGACATGAAGTAAAAGTAGGGATATTCAAGACGAGCCGTAAACATCCTGCAGGACATGTTCTAATGAGATTTTAGCCAGCAGACCAGTATAATTAATTGGTACAATATCTTAGACAAAAAACATGCGCATGAATAAGAAATACAAATTCTCTTTTTTTGGTCTTATTGTCATGAATATACATTTCAGGTGGCTAAGATGAGACAATTATTTCAATATCATCTCTCCAGGGTAGACTAAAGCTTCCTGGAAGTTTTCTACTTCAAAAACGTACAAACAAATGTCAACTGTGAAAGATGGAACAGCGTCTACCGGTTTTGATTGTCACAATCGATTGGTCCGGATTGCGGTTGTTCCGAACAGAAGCGATTGATCCCTGATCGTTTGATAAGCATAGCTATTCGGCATATATGCAGTATCGGGCGCTGTTTGTGCTCCTGTAACCCTTCTACCATCGCTTCCAGAGCAGCAATCCATAAACGGGACGTGAGGCTGCGAGAGAGCTTTTCATTTACTTTTCTTTGCTTCTGTCTTTCTGGGTTTTTTCGATGGGATGAACAGCCTCAGTCCCTCTTTTATGCCGTGAACTCTCATCGTCTTGCCCTTGGGCAGTAAAACGATCATTCTATGCATTCATTCGGTGATCATATGTTGTCGCCCGCTTATGAAAATGATGATCGTATCTCTTCAGCTAGCGATGCACCAGTAAGTTTGAACGGGGTCAGTTTTGGGTGGACCACGTAACTAATCATTCTAGATCACGCTGACTGCCAGCTTCTCATATTTATCGTATGGGGACGCCGTATATGTTCTACTCTTAGCTCTACCAGTTTTCCCGTATCCGGACTGACTTGAACGGTGCACCTCTGTCGGTTAACATTGTCGGAAGGCATTTGTTGATCAATCAAGTGGTGATGACGGGTTTTGAGACCGGACGATGACGCTTTCGTTGATCGCAACATCTAAAGCCATGGAGCTTTCGTAGACTAGATCTTGCGATTGGGCTGAGTGGGGCAATATTGCTGGTGACGAATCTACCATGAACATGACCGTGACCGAAATCGCTCAGTTGTTACTACGATAACCTGGCGGTGTGTCGAGGTTCAGCGCAGCTTGCTTGGGCTAAAGGCGGCCGACGCTCAATTATCATTTCATCGTTCTCTTAAGGCTATAATTGCTGAACACTGCTGTATATAGTTGGCCTGTTCATTGGGGCTGTTTGTAGGTCGACAGCTTCCATTAAGAGAGTTGAAGGGTTAGCGGCCGGTTGCTTCGCAATGGCTGGCTTTTGCGGCCTGGCGATGGGCCGTACGCCCTGACCAATTTCGACGATAAATGGCCACCGTCGGTGCCGCTGTGCAGCAGCGGTGACAGGAAGAGGAGCGCATGCGTCCCGGCAGCAGTTCCCGAATCCAGCGAAGCTTTTCTAAACAGCCGGGCACCACTCGCAACACCAAGACTGGTGCTCCTCTGACTGGTTGTTGGGAGGTTGCTTCTGCAACCTCCTGCTTTTCTATAGTCTCCCCAGCTTCTGAGGGCTTAGATAGCGGTTAAGGTACGGGGCAGGCGTTAGACGGTTGGATGCTGCTCTCTGTTTCTCTTCAAGGGCAATGTGTGCCACTGCGTTCCCCCTTACGGTTCGTTTGCTCCTTCGCAATTGCCTACCGCTTCCCCCTTGCCTCCTATGATTCCTCGTGTGCTCGTTCCTCCACTCGACGTTTGTACAGCTATCATTATCCACCGAGTATTGACGGCAATCAGCGCTTTCACCACAGCAGTAGTGCCTTTGTTGACTAACGCGGCCGGCAAAATCTCCCGATTTGTCGAGCTTGTTTTACCTTAACTTTGTCCGGCTTGGCTTAGGCGTACATACGTTTGCCGATTCTTGCCGTTAGCTCTATCCGCGACCGGTCTGCCTGTGGCCGCTAGCAGCAGTAACAACTGCTGCTGCCAACGGTGGCCGTGGTGTTCACTTCCAGTAGCGTTCGTTTACTGGCCACGACTCTTTCCCTTCTCCACGCGCGCTCGGCGGCTGTCATTTTCCTCCGTTCTACCCTCACCTCTCCGTCGGAGCGCCTCAAAACATCGCAGCGGTCCCGCCACGCTCTTCACTCTTCCTACTTGAGTACTTGTTGCACAAAGCTGACCGCACCGGCGCCACGACGCAACACGAACGTGCTGGTTTCCATTGTGGATTCAAGCACAATCGATCGTCCCGCTGGTGTTTTCCCCGCCGCGATTGTCCACCCACTCTGTGAGTTTGAAACACTGAGCTCTAGTCTAAACTGAAGTTGAGGGCAGAGAAAACGAAGTTAGAGGCTAGTAGAAGTTTGGTTGGTTCTATATCGTGGATGTAATGTTCTTGGTTAAAGTTGTACTTACTGATAATGAATGGTGTTGATGGCGGCGGACGAACATCGAAGTGAAAATAGTGGAAGAAGGTTGAAGTTAGCCGTAATTCGTAGTGGCCCCGTGTGCTGAAGGAGACTAGTATTTTCTTCCATTTAGAAAGGAAAAAGCGGAGAGAAAAAAAGAAAAATATAATTCGTGGATAGCAATCTGTGAGGTACAGATGGATGTGGGCGTTTGTGGTCGAAGGTTTGTGGGGAGTTTGAGGGATTCAGAAATCCGGGAAGCGTTGCCATCAATAAAGTGAGGTGAACAGAGTTTTTTCAACAAACCAAATAAACAGAAAGAGACCGAAAAACCAATCAAACCTATGAAAAGCTAAAGAGAGAGACGATTCTGTCACCACGTCAAGACCGGCAAGTTGAAGCCTGGTTCTTGTTGGATACGATGCAGTAAGACGATTGGAACTCGTCCAGTTCAGCTAAACCCGCCGACCTATATGGATTACTATTGTGAACTCGACGAATGGTATTGCTCGATGCTTCTGCCACTGCTGTTGTCGTTCTTGCCGCGACAAGATGTGATTTCAGAAACCCGTGCAGAGAGAATCGGTCGGTGATCTAAGGCAATCTATGGCCTAGCGACTAATCAAGTTCAGATTATCGTTGAGACGATAGTCATGTGTTGTTCTGGATAACATTTACTGCAACTGGGATTTTGTTTTTGTTTACATCTTTTACGCCATGTCTGAAAGCGAGTTGGTAGAGCACGGCCACTATAGTGCAGCTCAATAAGATTAGCAGTGGGTGGTTGAATTTTATTCCCCCGGTGTTCAGGAGAATCTCGGTGCACTTTAGCTTGATGATGATGATAGTGACTATGATAATACTTCTAGTTTTCCTAAGTTCTCTTCGAGTGCTTGATGCCAAATCTATCGTCGCCAATTACCCCTCTTATTTGATATAGCTATTGTTGTTGTACAAAATTGAATACTGAACGAATGAATTGACCGGCCTTTTTTTTTCGGTGCAATTGCATTGTGCTGTGTGTTTATCTCTGTTGATTTTTGTTCACAGGTTGTTATGAGGTGGCGGCGAGGGCGGACGTTCGCATAGGATGGCTTATGGGGCGTCTTAACTCTGTTGTAATCTAGTTAGCTATGCTCGAGCGCTGTTAATGTTGAAGGCGCGCCCCACTTCGTTCCTCGGTTGAGGAGTGAGTTGCTGTTGTTCGAAGCGGAGCGGAGAAGTTAGAACGTAGCGATCGAACTTGAGAAATGCCAGATAAGGCCAATATTCAGGGAGGCAGCAGCCATGAACTGGCGGCTCTACGTCCTAGCACGGGTCCGTCGGATGAAGAATTCGACGATGATGTGCCGGAGCGAGGTCAGTGGACCAACAAGCTTGACTTTCTCATGTCATGCATCGGTTACGCGATAGGCCTCGGAAACGTTTGGAGGTTCCCTTACCTTTGCTACAAAAATGGAGGAGGTAAGTGCTAATTAAGCCACGCAGATTGAAGGGCGATGATCGCGTAATTGTTGAAGCTAGGCGGTTGAAGATCTGCCTGTGAATGATCTGTGTAAAATGAGGGACAATCGTTTATGTAGAGCTTGTTCAGGACGTTGCTTACTAGAAAATGTGCACTGCAACAGCTAGTTTTCTATACATATAAACTAGGCATAGAACAAGAGGCGGTGTATACCATTGCTTTTGGTTAATTTTTATAAATACAATTACGATCGTTTCGACATCCTCGGATACTATGCTATAACTGTTGAATAAGATTATCTTTCACAATCGCAGCCTGAAAAATGCGGGTTTTTTTTTGACATCTTAATCTCATTGTGTTTGTAATGTGTTTTTATATGCAGTAACAATCTTAGTTTATCAGGAAGCTGTTTTAATTCGCTAGCATTTGGCTGGCTTTCGACAAAATAGATACAAATTCTAGAGAGTAGTGCTAATCAAAAAGTAACATGCTTATGCTCTTTGTGGACTTTAAAGGCTATTTTTAACCTATACCTACGCCATAGAAACAACTCGAATATAATGGTAAAACGTGTAGCCAAACGTAAGCATAACATATATAAGTACAGCGATTACCTTGAACGACATGAGTCTTCTGGGGTTAATTCCACAAACCCTAAGCTCGCCAATTCTGGGCACCCGAACCCTCATGCCAACCTGGTACATAGACCACACTCTTTCGATAATGCGTTTTCTTTTCCTATAAACCTCGTACACGTAGAATAGCCTTTCTGAATCGATGGGAAAAGCCAGACAATGCTGGCATGCACTTGTACTCGTTAGTGGGCAAGCGCTACGAGTCAAGGGCAAGGTAGACAGCTTGCCGCATGAAATCCGAAAACGAGGAGATCTAGTACATGTGAAATGGCTCAATAATGGTGCTGCCGGAGACAGGAGAGTCCGGAGGTTGGGGGCCCGTTAGGTTTTTGGTACGGAGTGTTATCGGGGTGAGGCACGGATCTACTGAGTACGGTAACGCGTTAACTTAGCATCTTCGCAGCTTCTTTATCCAGCCCGCTATACACTTTGGTATGCACGATTTCATTGGTACATAAATTCCGTCTGTAATCTCGGTGCGCGAAGGGAAGCCTGCTCGCTAACTAACGCGTTCAATTGTTGTCTGCTCGATATTTTGCTTAGTTGAATTAGGCTACAACAGGCTGGAGGAGGGGGGGGGGGGTAACAACCGGCCCAGTTTGGCTACACTCTTTTGCTGGAGTTAGCTCGTCCCGTAAGGCACGCCATAGCAAAGCCCTTGAGAAAATTTTTACTACTCTGTTCACTGGGCATTCACGATCTAGTAGTGGTAGCATCAGCACTCACCTAGGCAAAGGCAGCTCGCGGTCAGCCATAGCGGTAGCAGGCTCAAACACCATTTCGAAACTATACGCTATGCTTTCGGGTTTTCTCGGAGTCGTTCACGTCCCCCCGCTAGGTCACGGGAATTCTTTGCTCTTGCTACGATCATGTGCCTCACTTTCTTCGACAAAAACCATCCAGTGGTCACGATCTCGTTTAAGGCTGTGTATTCAAATCGTTCACTTATAAACGCTCGACGATGTCACTGCTACTATCAGAGCTCTCCGTAAATGTCTCTTTTGCGTGCGAGCGTTCTGCTTAACGCCTTGCGAGGTTGTCATTGTGGGCGTGTGCGTGCGTGCATTTGTGTGTATGTGCGTGTATCTAGATATGAATGCGCTACTGTCGGTGCATCGATGCAACATAGAGAAGCCTCTTTGTCCATCAGTCCTGTGGATACACGCTATGCTGTTCGTTGTACCTTACCGCCGAAAACCTTGTAGGGACCTTCGTCGAGTCTGTTTTTATCATTTGCTAATGCTGTGCTTTGCCGGTCCAAGGTGCCATGCTTTCTTTTCGGTGGCCATAATCGCGCACGGGGTTCGTTGATGAAAGCTGGTCCCGCTGTTTTCCACGGCTGCTAATGAGGAAACGAAAGTAGCCACTAGTTTTTGTTAATGTTGCAAAACCACGTGCATTCAAGAGTCATTATATGCCACAGGTGGGTGTATTAGTCAGGGCCGTTTAAGGGTACCCAACGAAGAGCAGCAACAATGGCTAGCGTATGCGAAGTCCGTTATTATTAATTTCTGTGATTTTTCACTTGTCGTATTCTGTGTTCCTACGGATGAACTTATTGTCGTGCTTGTTGTTGACACTTTAAACGTTTTGACTCATGCCTCATACACAGAGCTGTGTGCATCATGTGAGTGGCAGTCGATCGCGTACGTTATGGTGCAATGCCTGTCCAGAGTTGTCTACTCAGTAAACAGCACGGTGTTATCGCATCACCTATAACTATTTCGTCGTTGCTGTATAGTAGGCGTTCTCTGCTAGCTGACAATTGCTTATAAGCAGAAATAATTTACTGAACCATTGAGGCAAGGGATCAAAATGACGCTGATAGCGGACAAACCGCCGGAATACCTCCATGCTTTTTTTTCTGCCTATTTCCATCGCCGTCATAATTACCTTTGGTGACGCTTCTGCAACCTACCGCTGCTGGTAACCTCTGCTGGCCTACGAGTACAGTAGGAAAGCAGGCTCCCGGGCCCGCAGATCGCTCGGAAACATTGTGCGACCGATGAACTTCTAGCTTTCAGGCGTCGTTGCACTCGGAAACTTGTGAAAGATTGCTGCCAGTGATGTTCCCCTGTTCTCGGCAGCTTTTTTCGCTAGAAGGACCACCCGTTTGCGAATCCCTGTTCTGCATCGAAGGAGGGGACAGCGGAGGTCGGGATGTACAGGAATGCCTGCCAGGAGGTTTGGAGGTTGAGGGTGGAAGAGTGGCTAAAAGGGCTGAGACGGTTGTTGTTACCGGCAGATAGTGGCAGGCGACTTCTACGTTTACAGATATCTTGCTGCAGCAAAATTGCTCAGATGATTAGGTTGTGTTTTAAAACTAGTGAAGATATTATATCGAAACAGATTGTGTTTGAGCGTCACGATCTGAAACCTGTCGTGTGGAAGCGCTCGTGTGCGATAGTGCAATGTATACAAGCCCAAAATAATAGAAAAAGAAACTAGTAGAAAGGTGAAAAATAGGTAGACTTCTTGTGATGGGTAAATTCAGTCAACTTTTCCTGGATGTTAGCATATGATAGCATGACTTAACGATAAATGCTTTTTATTAATTAATGGAGCGGCCTGGAACAAACAATGTGATGTTTCCGGACACGACGATGTAAAGACGTCCATCGGCTTGTCCAACAGCAAACATCCAATAGGAACGTACTTAAACCCCCCTGTTAAACTTTTTTTGGTCTTCTTTCATTTCGGATATTGATTAATGGTTAAGTTTATTCTTATTTTGACGCTTCGTAGTGTGAAAATCGAATTACCGGCTACGTTGAGTATTACCGAATTTATTAGGTAAGGACGTTTCCAATGTAACAAATCATAGAAATACAAGCGAACCTAAGTTCCGTACATTTAAAAGGTCTCTGGCCGGAATTTATATATATATTATTGTTTCTTTTGGAGCCAGTACGTTTTGCTTTGAGTTACGATACCAAAATGATAGTTAATCAAGTATTCCTGCATTGTGTTAGGAATCATAATCGTTGTATTATCTCTGTCGCCTCTAAGCTTGACAGTGCTTGATGAAGCTTATACAAGGACTGGACCAAAAATGTTTATCCACAATAGAAATAAACTACCTATCGGTAAGAAACCCGATTTTTGGCAAGTGAGTGAGAATTACCTTTTCACACAAAACAGAGAGAGTGTTTCTGACCTCTATTTGAAAGTGATTCCGTAAAAACCATTTTTTTGCGGGAAGATATTTACATTTTCAAATAAAATTAGGTACTGTTTTGAATAACGTTTTATCCGCGCCATTTGCCCTGATCGGAAAAAACTAATGCAGTGATCCGGCAATCTGCATGACTTTTCGCTTAACCAAGCGATTCAGATAAGGGAAAACAAACTACGTTCTAGCAAATTACTCTGTAAAAAAACAAGCTTTACAGGATCAGCGAACTTTTGAGATTTTGGCAACTTTATTTTGGTTATGTTATTGCTAAGTGATTCTGTTAAGCCTTGATCGGCCGAACAATACATCTACATATGTGCCGTTAATTCTTGTGCATAGATCTGATGAATCATTTGACTAGTTTTCAGGCTGGTTGGCCAACGTTGGACAAGGAGACCAGTGGTTTAGCTAATCAGGATTCATGGCCGATATTACGCCACCAAATACAGCCCATCGATTTCAATCACAGCCAAATTTTCGTCCTAATCACACCATCGAGAACTTAAGTAACTGCAGTCCTAGTCTTTCTGGGCACTTATGTGGTCTGTGATTGCGTAGCTGCCAGATGTGTGGCATCAATTTATACCAGTCAATATCCTTATATATAATGCACATGTTCCTATTTGCTATTTTTAATTTTTCCATTAAACGTTTACTTGCAACAGTTGCTGCGCCCTGCTGTACATGTAAAATAGTTAGTAATTAAGGACTGTCTAGCGATCTGCGCGGAGAAAAATCAGCTCTTACGCTAGTTTAACGCACGAAATCAGAAAAGAAAGATGCATGCTCGTATATACGGACTGACGGAGTATGCCTCCTCTATATCTGAAATTGGTTGCTAAACGTAAGGTCGGTTATACTTGGCTGGTACCGTAAGTAAGCTTTTATTATCACTGCATTGCCCTCGAACGACCGTATCGAACTGAAGTTGAGCCACAATCAATTCTGGCCAAAATTTTTGGTTTACCAATTTTTATCGTTTCTGCCGCTTTTCCCTCCTGCACCAGCGGAAGCAACGGTGCTGTTAGCTGAGGTAAAGTGACAACCAAGTCACTGGGGTCATTTGTTCTGCGATACGTTATTCTCCTGACGGGATTAAATATGATCGCATGAATGGTGGCTTCATTCGAGACCCGAAATTAGCGCAGTATTTTCCTCTGCTGATGGGCGGTGGCTTCATTATTCGTTG